ATATATATATATATATATATATATATATATATATATATATATATATATATATCGACTTATATAATGAAACTTCTTGGCAGACATTTTTCATAATTCAACTCGTCTCATGGACCCGATCATTTCACGCTCATCTTATCGATCTCGAGAGGTCGACCATCGGTTTCTCATCTATTCTCGTTACGAACGTGCCCGTCTTCCTACTATCTACGTAATCTGCTTTTCGCATACAAATCGCGTCGTCCGAGGCCATTATCAAACAGTTATCAATTTTAAATTTGATTTTTGTGTGTCGCGTCGTTTCTCGGACGATTTATGATCGATTTCGAGGAAACTAGCGACATTCGCGTGAGCTTATACAAATTGTTTCTGTAATGAGATGTTTTCGCGAATGCAACTACTGAATTATTTTGATCGACGTTTAAATTAAAGGCAAAACAAAAGAATTGTCTCTTTGTTAGAAAACGACGATTGCACAACTTTCGATGATCGCACGTGGCTCGGAAACGTGTGTGACAAAGTGCAACACCCCATTATTCAGCGTTACGCCATTATTCATTCGGCGAGCGATAAAGCACAATGTGCCAATCATCGTCGCGTTGCTCGTGTGCGCAATTAAGCCGGGGGAGATACACGCTCGCGTGAATCAGCAAATAAAACGCGCACCGTCGCATCATGCCTATCTTTGTCATCAGTGCGCCTAATTGCCTGCGTTTAACTACTATTTAACTAGCCGCTTATCGTTTAGTGGCGGCAGTTCTACGCAATTGCTGCCATTATTGCCGCTAACAGTCGTCGTAGGTGACCGCCTTCGCCCAATTGCCAGCTCGCAAAACGCGACAGTAATCTAAACCAATTTAAAGATAACGGCAAAACAATACCAAGGGCATAGCCTCCATTACAGAACGACCGATAAATTTCATGGTCGTTCCTAGGGAACATTGCAGGTAACCCTTGTATTCGTAGTCGCGATAAGGGACAGGTGTTTAACGAAGAGGCGTCAAATCAACTTAACACGCAGCATATCGTCGATGTTATCTGTGAATGCATTGTTTGATAAATTGCGTTAATTAAGATTAGAATAATGATTAATTTAGAGAGATAGTTAAAACAGGCGGTTGAAAGCTTGATTTACACACGGAAAAAACACGGATTAATCAAATGCTTGCTCAAATAGTGAAATATGAACGAACCAATAATTTCGGTACCCAAGTTATTAGAATTCTGCTCAAATTAATAAGATTTTAGTTAACCAAACAAGATTTTTAATTAAGCAGAATCTGCAAGTGCTCAACTTGAACAATTAACCAGAATCTTAACCAGAATTTTGTTAATTTGAACAGAACTCTGATAACTGCAATTCTGGCTCGTTCATACACCAGATATTTAGTCAACCCAATTTTTTCCATGCATAAACAAAATACTGAAAAATGCAATCAAAGAAATTTATACGCCAATCGTCAATCAACAATTGTATATTCTTTGAACTTGGATTTGGAAAGAAAACATATTTTGGTGATAAAATTTCTATAAGTATTTATTCTATTTGATACTATTAGTGATACTGTAGCATTGTTTACGAGCAACATAAATTTTCCTAAATTTTCATCTCGCAATAATTGACTATACCCAATGACCCAAATCATCAATTTCAGAATTGCATGCCGGCAATGATAGCATCGCGGCCGCTTGGCCGTATACAATGGCACCATTATGTTTCACGGCGATAAATCTATAGCCTCTGGATACCGTCCAAAAGTCTTCTTGCGCGAAAGCGCGGCAGGATCGCACGACATTCCAAAGGACGTCTCTGTTCGACAATCTCTCGCGGTTTTTCCTCTCATAGAATCCAGTCAGACACCCATTCGCCTCTCTCTCACTCCTGCTTCATATCCACTGAATTCATCCTACTTTAAAAGATTCAGGGAAATAAAGGGAGAGACGGTAAATATTGATTATAATAAAATAAATATTTAATAAAATGTAGTGAATTGTATTTTTTCCTGAACTTTAAATTAAAGTTTAGTGAAATTTTCCTGCACTTTAAATTTAAACTTAAGCTGAGACATTTTTGTAAAGATGTACGTTTTTCGTTAAAGTATAACGTGCTTTTCTCGTTCCATCAAGACGGCAAAACCGAATAGAAAAGTTCGACAATGTAAAATACGTAAATCTCCGAACATAAAAGTTCGTAGACCCTGGAATGCAGAAACTCGCACACAAGGTAAACTAAAAGTACAAAAAATTTCTGCAAAATTCAATATACCGAAAATATACGAAAAGGGTATAAAATTCCACTGGCAGGTCTGACAAAAAGCGAGAGAAAAACTTGCATTCCTACAAACGCGAACGTTAAAACTCCAAATTTAATTGTTCCTCCTACCTCTTGTAATATCATATAAAACACATGTTGACGTTTCCATGCTTTTCTCGGTATTGCAATAAATTTATAACTTTACGATCATGTGGATTTTGCTTTATCTACGCACACGTGCGAGTATAAGAAGGGGTTGAGACTCTCAGAGAGACGGCCGTCATGTCTGACGATAATAAATTCCTCTCACTATTCTCTGCATGTCTGGCGGGTCACGGGCGTTTTTCACTGTCGGTGCGTTTGACCGCACTCAAAGTTCTCCGTGGCGTCCAGAGGAGTGCAATTCTCGCCGCTGTCGATGCGAGTGCACCGAGGAATTATTTCTCGGGATAAGGGTGGGTTTCCTGCCGGGCTCGGCGCCATTAGTAATGGTTTTAATTTGTGCGGCTGAAAGTTCGCCCTCTCTCGCCAGCCTCGATCGGCGCGAAATCGATGACGAACGGGTTAGGAACGTCGCGCGCCTCTCGGAAATGGATTCTCCGCAGAAAATGTACCGTTCGCAATAAATAAATTCTTTCCCGTCATGTGCGTCTAATTATATTTATTAATATATAATTTAATTAGATTGTTTTCTTTTGCCCGGCAAAACTGTATGCTCAACATATGTTTGTACTTATTTTAAGAGAGAATTTTGTTTCTCATAAATTAATTGTAAAAATCTTGATAGTGTAGAAGTCAATAAGGGTGCTCGACGATTTTTCGCTTATTTTCTAAAGATAATAAGCTCCGTATAATATCTAAAATACAAAAAGACACGGTATTAGAGTTACATTGAACGTACCGCCATCCTCCGGGTGCGTAACCAACTATCGCGCCGTGTTCGACTGCACTCGACGTAACCACTTGGAAACTCGATTTCAATCCATTACGGAGGTTTGTGTCTCGGCTAACTCATGATCTGCTATGACCGTCGTGAAACCTGTTGCTATGTTATTTCCATCACTTACATATTTGAGAATTTTTTTCGCACATTATCTAATAATAAAACCTATGCTACACGTAGTCTCATCTAATGTTTTCTATTGAGACTTATAAGAAGTGTCTATTTGTTTGTAAGATTTCATTAAATAAAATTGAACGTGCTGATTAAAGGAAGATTCAAGAGGTGTTATCGATTTGATATTCCTTTAAATGAATAAGCTAGAAGCAAATTCTCTTTTGGAATTTTCTAAATAACATGGCTATACTTTTTTTTAGTAGAATACAACTATGAGAGGAATTATAAATTAAATTGCTCATATGCTGGTAAGTTTGTTCACGCATATGGCTGTTTCTTTCTTTAATTCAGTAAAAAATTTACGAATAATTATTTTTTATTTTCGATACTATTGATTTTCATAAGTAGAAGACATTTTCATAAGTATACTCATAAAATTACCGTTATTAATATTTTCCTTTTAAGATATTACTGTCTGCACACATGTAAGACATAAAGGACACGTCTATAAACGTGAAATTCGTAATGCGAAGGAATTTACGAAGCGGAATTTGCGTGCAACGATCGTCGTTCGTTGCCAGCAAAATGGCTATAAAAGTCCTTTAAGTTTACAATGTATGTAACGTATATGAGAAACATGAAAGAATTACGAAAACAGATAGTAGCTAGTAGAATTTAATATAACATTTTCCGATATCTTCTTTCTTTTTTACGATACGCCTGCGTACCGTTATATACCATAACCCCTAACAAAAGAAATAATATACTCCAAAAAAAAATTTTCTTTACTATCTTTACAGTAGAATGAAATTTCTCTATTCATGACATCAATAAAGATACGATAATTTTTTCAGATTGTCCTATAATTGCATTGCATAATCTGTTTTAATTAACAATCAGTCATTCTTTAAAACTTCTTCATTCTTTAAAACTTTATACAATATATCACAAACGTTGCCTACATTATATGAATTATGATTTTTTAAACATTTTGAGGTCGTACTTTAACGTATATATTCAGACAGAACAAACTTAAAAAAAAAACATCTTAAAAACGTGTAAAAAACGTCTAAATAAATAAAATCAACGTTTTTAACACATCTCTTAGAAGTTCATACTATCTGATAGTTATACAGTTAATAAGAAAAAAAAAACGATTCAACGAGTATCTAACATGGATGATATTCTAATAAACTATAATAATCGTTATACCTTAATAATCGTAAATACCTTAATAATCGTTTTATTACACTACCAAGAGTGCTCAAAAGTTTCGATACTTAATACTCATGCAACCAGGAAGAGTAGGGTAAACGTCTCGAGTATTGATTTCCTTAAGTATGCTTATGTGAAACAAATATTCATACAGTGTGATTACGAAGAAAATATATGAAAAATAAAGATATGAATAATGAAAAGAAAAACTTCTTTAATGAACAACACAGTCAACATGTGTGCTATTCTCTAAATCGAGAATTACATGACTTTTAATCTTACACATGCATAAGTAGGTCTAAATCATTTAAGACCATTATAACTTTATTATGTAACTAAAATTACTTATACAATTTTCAAACTTATTCGTTGTATGTAAGACTGAAAATGTAACTTTCTAAAAATGTGTGATTTTCAGTCTAGAGAATGATGTGGCATATATACATGTGTGTGTGTGTGACGCTGACTTAATATTCGGAGTTGAACAAACGGGACAATGTAGCTCTGAATCGTGGACCACTTTGGACGGTGAAACGTGCGCTCATCTCGCACATGGTCCTCAGTAAGCACGTGGAGTCGCGCGGGCAATATTGGCCGATGAGCACGTGGCCGCCAAGACGATCGTTGAAGCTCGGCATTCCTCGGTCGTAGTCGCGAGTCGACGACCGACGGGCTGGCGGCAGTCGCGCGCCGGCCGCAGTCACGGTTGGAGGTGTATGTTTACGTATCCGCGATGAAAATTCGACCTTTCGTAGAGGTTATGTTTATGCGCGCCGCCAGGATGACACATGATTTTATACGCCGATCTCTTTAAAAGCATCGTTGTCGGACATCCGTGTGCTCTTGGAAAAGAAGCTCCGATGATATTTCGAGAATTCTACAAGCTCTCCCTGGCAGCGGATTGCGCTGATGCGCGCGACAGCTCCGGCAAAACTTGGTTAGTGAACAGCTATTTAATTAGTTAATTTTCCCTGATCGAGGTTCTAATCGTTTTAGTGTCGGGATATTTTTAATTTAACGGACTCTTTTATTTGAAGCTTAATTAAGAGAATACTAGATATTCAAGTATATGAATCGTGAAATATTAGGATCTCTCTTGATGTAAAAGAAGAAGCTTTACTGTAAAATTGTACAATTAAACGACACTTTGGCGTCCATTATGCCTTCCTTCTATGTTTATACAAGTACTTTTTGTTGTTAAAAGATTATTTTATGTAAACAATATTTTGAAATTGGGAGAGAACTAATGTTCGCGATATAATAATCTTCAGATTGTGGTGCGTAGAATTTAAATCTTTAGACTCACATATCTATGTGTGTGTATGTGTGTGCGCATGTGTGTATTGAGCCGTTATAAAAAAGTGATATTTCTTACTGCTTTTTCATATTTTCCTATGATAATACACTTGAATAGTTGCGCAGTCCACGCGGACGATGCATGCCCTCAATCACTTATTCCAATTTGGTAACCAAGCTTCGTGTCACGATGCGGTTGTGTACGGTTCGTTGGTGAAATCGATAACTGCCTCTCGAACCGAGACGAATTGTTCTCGTAGTTTAGACTTACTGTGTGTCACGTGCCTTGTCAGTCGAACAAGTCTCCCAATAATTTTCTTCTTACTCTACTCGCAGCCGATGTAAAGCTATATGATAAAGGACATCATTTCTATATATTATCCATTTTTATATTATTATTACCATCAGCTGATAATCATATATTATAACATGGAATATAAATTTAATATAAAGGTTGGATATATTCATTGTATACAGAGCGCATAAATGAGCATATGTAAATGTAAAAAATTCACTTTAAAATATATCTTCTTATGAAAGATCCGTGTACTACACTTACTGATTAAATACTGCTCGCATTAACACGCTGTTGTAATGAATTATTGCAAATGTGTTAATTAAATGTAGCCGATTTGTCGGTAGATTTTGACGATGCGCTTATGAAATTTCCGGAATGTTCAAATCTCTCGCAGTTGATTGCAAGAGTAAGCTTGTGTAATGCCTCCTATTACCTATGCAGATAGTGTAATTGCTTCAGTGCGCTATTGCGCGCATTAAAGGAAATTGAGATTACAGCTGAAGTGTGTCAATTAATGTAGAGTGACAAATAATTTAAACTATTAGCGGAAAATTATGAATTTTCGATTATTTCGTATCAGACTTGAAAACCGTGATTCAATTAATTCACGTTAAAGTACTGTCAGTAGATTATATGCCGTGAACTTTAATAAATTAGAATTTTTATATTTTTTACGCATAATCACGAAAATTGTGTGATTAAAATGCACGGAAAGAAAAACGCGACTCCGTTACTAACTCCGTTAGTATAACTGAATTTCCTGTTACCTGTGTAACGACGAAATGAAAAATTTAGTTGTAAAAACAGAAAGATTTTTGTAGGAGATTTCTACGTAACTAATTGCTTTCATTTATCTCAACCAAGCCTTAATGCAACTAAATGTTCAAATAAATATTTTCGATCGTAGTAACAAAAATATGATTTCTCATCAGCGAGTTTTTCGTATAGTCTTTTTAGTTAGTTGCATAAACTAAGACTTTTTTCTATATACCTATATTAATGTGCCAATATATATAAAGCAGCATATTTTTTAGAGCAGCGTTTTTGAGCAGGGTGAATAAGTATTATTATTTTATACACATAATTCTATATTAAAATAATGTTTTGTCGAAGACGAAATAGATAACGAAGCTAAGTAAAATTAATGACTAGATGCGAAATTTTGCTAACAATGAAATAATTTTAGAAATAACCATTTTCGGTTATTTCCTATGCGAGTTGTTAAATGGAGTCAAAAAGCTGAACATATAACGCGTGCGCGCGCGGAAGTATAATACAAATACGTAAGTACAATAATAAATCGTATATACGATCGTATATAACGTGACATTACGTTCTATTCATTCTATTTATCAGAGCTCCTAATATATTGACAGATCTCTATAACTATATTGTTTTGAAACGGATTGTGTTTACATGTTTAACAAAGGAATCGCGTATCGTTACTGTGCGTTTGCTTGGCACCGTTTACTTTCGTTTATTAGTTCCTTTGACAATAACACGATCATAAAATCGATGAAGATTAAAGCTCAAGTATAATATACGCCGCTCGTTATTGCCACAGTGCAACTACAATCGAATCAGTGCAAATAAAATCGAATCGCATGATTATATTGTATTTGCATTTAAATAATAAAGCCAGAGGGATTTTGGTGCAGGAAGCGGTTCGCTAATTGAAGATAATCATAATTATTTTAAAGTGAATTGCAGACGTCTGAATAATTCACGGAGACTTATCGATTATGCATATTAACAATATAGTTTATTAATGTGTATAACGCGGTTGGTAACTGCAACGTGCAAGTCTACTGACAATGTTCTAGCTGCTCGTTACTAGAATTTCTAAACATGAAAGAAAAGAAAAGAAATACCGATAATAGCAGCTGCTCCGTGTCGAAAGGATTGTTCAAACACACGGCAAACGTGCATTGTCCTTAAGTTTCCATTCTCTGAGATAAATGGCAATCTATTCTTCACGATGTTCGAGCGCGAGAGCGAGTGGATTAGAGCAAAGTGTACTCCGATAGCTTTGCGCGTTCACTGATGGCGGCGCAAACGATTAAATTTCATTGCATCGCGCCTTGAAATGATTGGACGAAGTTACGACACCGATATCCGGAGCGCCGAGCGCTGGAAAATCGAGAAAAGGACGGTCGAGTGTGTCGAGGAACAACAGGAACAAGGAACGAAGTCACCCTTTATCGAGTTTTTATCGTGTCTCCGCTAAGATCGCGCCGCTTTAAAAACTCCATGGAATCGCGCGAGTTTCTCATGCGGGCGGCTTTCGGACATACACTGCTACATTCATTCGATATCGTACACAAATAACGCTCTCCCGGTTATCGGATTGCCTATAAATTCGCCCGTATAAGCGAGAATTACATTCTGCTGACAGACCGCGCAAAGTATCACAGAGATCAAGGTAGGCTCGACGTTATAGTCGATCACCTATTACCCGGGCGAAATAGTGAATCGATAGATCCGAATTCGCTTTAAAATGAGAAAGGAACGGAGAAAATGTTGAAAGAGAGAGAGAGAGAGAGAGAGAGAGAGAGAGAGAGAGAGAGAGCATCGCTCTCGCTTGGTAAGCGTTTCTCGGTTCGGTTCAGTTTTTCGGTTTGGTTTTTTTCCCCCGAACAGTCCACATGTCAGAGGCGAAGAAAACGATCGTGTTAACGAGAATTCCGGAAGGGAGATTCACTAGCGAGAGTCGCTTTCCTCCTATTTTCCTCTCGGAAGGTCGGGCATGACGCGATATCGCAAAGATGTTTTAGGACTACCATAAATCACAAAAGCCGGTGGGCGGTCAGACAGAGAGGCAAAGGGCGAGAAGAGAAAGAGAGAGAAAGGGGGAACGAAAAAAAAACATATATATATATTATTTAAAGTACCGCTCCCGTAGCTCTCTTCTCCCTCTCTCTCTTTCTACCGCTGCTTGTTCCACCCGTTGACTCTTCGCCCTCTTCATCGCCATTTTCATGGCTCCGGCGCGCACTTCCGCGCGGCGCTTCTCCTATGCCATTAAGGCGTTTCCACGGACGCGACGAATTATCGTCGAATAAAGCGGCGCGATTAAGGCAACCTGGACGCGACGTAGAACGAATCGGAAGAATTTCGTTTAACAGCCGCCTTCGCCGCGTTTCCCGCTCCTATCCCTTCAAGTCTTTCGCGAGTAGTGGAGCCCCAAAAGGGAGGATCGGATATATTTTCCCTCCAGATGTTCGCGGCCTTTCGCCCCACGACATTCTAATTGCGAGATTACAAATTACCGATTACGTCGCGATTCCTACGACGAGAAGGATTTTCGCGCGCGAATTAATTCGCTTTAATTATACGATAACGTTTAATCTCTTACTTCGGATTGCGTTTCTTGGGCGGATCCCCGTGCATTTCGGCGCAACTTTCTTTCACGACTTCATTTTCTTAAACTCCAAGCGCAAGCTTTAGAGAGTTACTTTGCAGCATTCAAGTAAGAGACATGAGTGCGAAAAGGGGCAGTAATTTACGGCGATGACAGGAGGGAAGATGTAACTCGGGCGGAAAGTGCGCACGAGAGTTTTAAATTAATTACGTCTAAGAAATTGAAATGAGCCTCGTACTTACCGACTTCTTCGTCACTGCTAGTGAAAAAATTACTCACCGCAACACGTGTAGTTATATCTCTCTCCGGGGGATTATTATTCGCTGTACAACGTTTCCCTTCTTCCCGCGACATTGCAAAGCTCGGCGCGGCTCGAATAAAAGAGTGGCAATTACTCAGGCCGTAAGTCCACGCCGGAAAATGGAAGTAACAAACGCACTTCTTCCCTCATAAAAGTCGGACGAAAGAATCGCGTTGCGCGAATACGTGGGATCGCCGAACCCGCCGCCATCGTCGTCGTCGTCGCCAGCAAGTCTGCGCGCGCGATTCGCAATGCGGCGAACGCGCGATATCGGATCGCCGCTTAACTAAAAGTCGTGCCATTGTTTCTTCTAAAGCGTCGCAGCGCCGTCGTGGGAGCGAGTCGCGCGCAAGTTCCACAAACTGTTCCCGTTTCGCGAAGAAATCATGACATTGAATTAAAATCAAATAACGCGGGCGTTTGCTGGCAGCGAGCGCGCCGCCACCGCCACCGCCACCGCCACTACCGTCAGCGGCAAAACAGACCAGTTATTTCGTAATTTCATCGATTTATGAGACAGTAGTGGAGAGCAAGAAGCGCCTAAGTAAGAACGGAATGCAAAGTTTGAATAATGCATGCGGCTTCATTTTGTTTACTCAGGAAAAGATGTATGGAAAGGAGCGAAGGAGCGAGAGTTAATTTAGTTGACGTTAATTGGAAATCTGCTCCGATCGAACCTTTGTGTTACTGAAACCGTAGTAGCAATTAAATAACTGATATTCTGAATATTACGTGGTAACATTATGGAAAATGGAGTCGTCACGTCTGATAATTTTGCTACCAATATGTTTAATATAAAAGTATTATTTTTCTCTCTGTCTCCCTCTTTCTCTCTTTTTCTCGTGTATAAATACGTTAAATTAATTACAAAGATATATATGCAAAGTATAAATTAATATAAAATGTTTAAAATATATCACGCAATCGTATTTTATGCTCGTAATTTTTCTCTCTTATAAATAAATGTGGAACTTCATAATCATTAAAATATTATCATGCTTTATATATACATTCGCCTTTGGAAAGATTGTCTGTTTTTTTTTTGTTGTAAGTTTAAGAACCAATTTTGTCTTGTCCAATGGAAGCTTTCTCCTATTGGAAAATAAATTATCCTATTGGACAAGACGCGAATAGATTCCTAAACTTACAAAGAAAGTCAGACAACTTTTCCGACGGCGAGTGTACACTTGTACATGTTTTATTTTGTGTTATAGTACAAAGTTCACATGATATACGTTACGTTAAACATCCATGTTCAGTGCTCGTAAAATAATTTTTTTAAACAGATATAAAATGTTTCAGACAAACACAGCAATATTTGAAAATGTTTACTTATATATAATCCTAAAAACTTTCATTATTTTTCAAGTAGCATCTGTGCATAAGCATTGTACAATAAATATTAATAATTAAATTAAATCCTCTTGACTCATGAATTACGACGATGTAAAAATTCTCGCATATAGTTTTCATGGTAGCTAACTCACTAATTCCACCTCATCTCGCATTTGTATACTTTTACTAATTATATAATTAAAATGAACAAAAAAACCAGAATATTTTTCATGAAATTCTTCACTGCGCAAAATGTTGGATTATATGTTTGATGATGATATTCGCGAGAAATATCAAATTGCAAACTTAGGAAGGCTTCCTTCGAATCCCTTGGCCGACCGTCGTCAAAATTTAATACATAAAATAATGCGAGCGACAGTACACTTTCCATTACCGCGAGAATTCACGAGCAATACTCGCGGTATATACACGATATGCAAATTTCAACGAACTCGCCATGTAGGAACGTCTCATGTGTAGGATTTCTCGAGCAAGGTGACAGCGACCGCTGAATCGGACTTCAAGCGACAAACGTTTACACAAAATGGTAATTTTTCGGCCGCTCGCAAAGTCCACGAGATCTCACCGACCGTAAATTGAAAAACGCGCTTCGTTCGCGGTAGAACGTGTCCGACCCTTATGAATTTTGCGCGCGGCGAACAGCGAACGTGGCGGATATCCTGCCGCCGGCCGATATTTCAACGCGGACTTTTAATTAACACACAAGCTGTGTAAAAAATTAATTTTTCTTGGAGGAAAAACGTGGCTAGTGCGTAGCTCGGAATACGCTCGTAATTTTCTTATGTTTACTACACGCCACACGGACTCGAGTTTATTTTTAGAATAGAAATTGAAAGACCCGCATAGTCGGGCGAGATGATGATACTGAATGAACGCCACCCCCGTTAGAATTAAGATTTATTTTGGTCACAACTAGTTTTTATATAACGCGCGCCACTGCGAGCCGGCCGATTCTCTGGTCGACTGATATGTTGATTACGTTGTGTTTTGTGTTTAGGTAAATGCGTGAAGTGTGTCGAGCCATATCCATCATAAACATAATTCGTGCGGTAGTGTTCGTGTGAGGGGCCACCGAGAGGCCGCGGCGGTGGGTTTTCGAGATGAGCTATGAATCTGGGTTGCCTGGTAGCCTGTGTCTTCGTTCTTCAGCTGCCCTCAATACTCCACGCGCTGCCTTCTGTCGTCAAAATCGGTGAGTTTATCACTTGTCATTTCGCTTTAAGAGCCAGTCTCGCTTTGCACACTTCCGTTGTATGTCGCTTTTCGTCGTAAAGCTTTTGTGTCTTGCAGCGACTTAATGAGACGATAAAATTGCGATAAGAGGGTAGGTTATTTAAGAGCGAATTAAATGTAGGAAACACGAGTAACGTCATATAACTACGTACGAACACTAGATGCATTACGTAAAAACAATACATAATGATTTATTTTGTTTGTAACAGAGTAAAGTAGTTAAAAATTATTTTATACGTGATCCCTCCATGAACATAATTAGTTGCGTAACTGAGAGTATGTTTAACCCTTGAAGCGCACTGTGGTGCAAATTTGTATTATCAATTTCGAAAAAGTTATTTTTTCGGAATACAGTAAAATATAAATCAATTGTTCACTTTTTTACCGGCTTGTTTACTTTCTTACCGGCTTTTATATCATTATTGTCAAATTGCTGATCTCTTGTCTTTTTATATAAAAAAATTAAAAAATTGAAATTGATCAACTCGCGCACGCGCGGAGACGAGTTATAAGTTGGCAAAAATTACTGATGCAAATATCCATTTGTATTACGTTGGTATTGCATTATACTGGTGTCTTTTACCAGATGTGTGCGCTCGAAAACTTAAATTACATCCTTTCGATTCTGATATGAATCCGAGTCTGAATCTGAAAGCGACGTACTTCTCTACGCTCAAAACAAAACAGATATATTTTGCTCACGCGTATGTCTCGGCACGTCCGATATTATTTATTCATCCTCTTCCGCCGTGCTGCATCGATTTGACGTCGCAATACCGAAATATCATTTCCTAGTTCTCTCGAAACTGAATCATTTTGTATCGAGCGAGGAAAAGTTTGTCAAGCACGACGGTCGAACTAGACGCGCGACTTGATATTTTGTCCTGACACTTTCCGAAGGTTGTCCTTCCTCATCCCTCGCAAGTTGCTCCCCCGAAAACTTTGGCGTACCTGAGAGCTTCCCAAATCTAACTTTTCTGAAAGTTTAGTCGCGGACTACGTTCGTCGGCAACGTCTCCGACGATAATTATTGCACTCGAGAAACGCCTCGAGGCACGCGTGGGTCGGGAAATACTCTTTCGGTCACGTTGATTTCACCTACTTCTTTTTGGCCCTTTTCCTCTCTCTCCGCTTATTTCCCGCTCACTCTTTTTATCAAATAAAGACCAGTATTATTCACCAGTATTATTCTCTGCGAAAGACGGAATCATTTAAATAAAGAAACTGATTTATATTATGTATTCAACATAACACATTTTATAACAATAAAAAATACGTAGAGATAAATCTCGATTAAAGTAAAAACGATCAGATTTCTTGTGACAACACTTTGTGATGCTTTTTAAATCGCAATATTATATATACGACAGATTATATATTTTAATATATTTCAATTTCATACGGTTAAATATGTCCACGGGAAAAACAATACGATTGGTCTACATATTTCAATATTGAATTTGAAACAAATTTACGTATGGGTCAATCATACTGTTTTTTTTTCGTTAAAAGTATTATTTCATGTTAAAAAAATATCTGTAAAAAGTAATATAATATTTAAGTCGTCAGTGAAATATATTTATATTTTAAACGAAATATAAAATCGCGGAATACACCGTATAATTTGCTATGACTATTATGACGTTATCGTGTTTATAGGCAATTTACGAAACTTAATCATGTAACGCAATACCACACTCTGGCAGTCGTAAAAAGTACTAGTGGTGCTCTTCTTGTAACCACAAAATAATAGAGACACATTAGCTACTTAGCACATCAGATTACAGACTCATAATGCACGAACATCCGTTATCGTGTTACTGATAAAACTCCGATGAGTTGTCCGATAAAGGTCTTGGCTAACAAATATACTCACCTTACAACATCTCATTTAAATAAATCTTATTGAACATAGGCCACATTTTTTAGCAATACGTTAATTAAAATCACATAGGATTTAAAAATGTTTACCTCATTTTACAAAGTGTATATAGTTTATTATAGTTATTATAATACATTATAGTTTTTCTCTTCGAAACAATAGCCAAGTGTCCTAATTATTGGACGCGGGATATTTGGAAATGTTATCTCATTTGATTAATATGTTAGTTATATTGCAATAATTTATAAACATATGTGTGTATTTATACATTGTGCATTTATACATTAATTGTTGAGCAAATTATAATAATGTAGTAGATAAAGCTATTATCATAATTATTTATTTTCCAACTTTTGAAAATTAGCAGTCTATCAATCAGATTAGCAAATGAAGATTGTAGTGAATTTATAGCGTTACATTATCGTTTTGCATTGAATCCATAATTTCAACGTTTAAATTATGGAAATAGTAATAATCTCAAATGCGTCAATATATTCGATTGAATTTCATGAGAGATTATGTTTTAGATCACACATATATGAAAGAGAAATAATTTAACTTTATGTAATAGTTTAAACCGATATGTCTATATCAATGCATCAATAGTTACAAAAAGTTTAATTATTTTTTATTAAAATATTAATCAATAATTTGATATTCGGAAGACTTCATGTCATAAAAAGAAATATTACAAAAAACGGTAAATCCGAAAAGAAATATATATAAATGCATTAATTTCCTCAATATTATATTATATAATATTACAATAATATATATATATATATATATATATATATATAATAATTTCCTCAAACACATAAGAGTAAAGATGTACGCGTGTACTCTATATCATAAAATAACTATCCAATTTCTGGTATGATTTCCATGGATGATAAGTAGCAATGAGATCCGTGTATTTAGTACAATTGTTGTTAAGCAATGTGCCTGAAGTGTTTAAACGCTTGCAACACTAGCAACACTGTGGTAGCAAGCGCTAGCAAGACTAGTTGAATCTGCTGTTTAACATGGATGAACAGTGCAAATTATTGGTACTTTGCTTTGCTATACTAATGTGAAGTTAAAAAACATTATAAAGGAAGAAGTATGTTATTTGCAATTCTTTAAGAATAAGTAATATTATTTTCAACAATTTTTAATCATACATATACATAGTGTTGATTTTATTCGTTAATCTTGATTTTACTGTTAAAAATAAATTCTCAAGAGTTTTCTTAAATTCCATCTTAATGGTATAATAGTTTGCCGACCGAATAGCAGCACTGTGTTAATATCAAGAAGACAAACAGAATTCCGGTGATGCTTTTACTCTCTCCCGTTTCCGCGATAAATCGGTTAAATTCTCTCGAATAAAGCGACGATCCAGCAATTTACGCAGGCAACACGTACATAACCACGCGGTCGTGTAGCGTCTGAAACGCGATATTTGTCTCGCGTCGTAACCTCTTGTTCCGCCTTTTCATTGAAATTGGATTTCTCGCCTTGAATGCCCTCGAGACGACCATGCGCCGCGGAACATGTAGGACGTTTAGACAGCGGAAACGCGAAAGCGAATACAAAGATAAAGAGAACATACGGATATAACTGGCGAAGTAGCGAGGGGAGATAATTCACATCATCCCTTTGAATTCTAATTCAAACGGCCTCCCTTTTCTCATACCGCTCTGTTGCAACCGCATCGATCCGTTCTGTTACAGCGATATTATCGCAACAGATAGTATCGAAAACTCAATTCGTAGTATTGACAATTTAAAAAAAAATAGATACACAGGAATATGAAATTCAAAATTATGGATGGTAGAGTCTTATCATTCAACTCAAGGATGGTTCTATTTCAACAGATTCAAAACTTGAGAGGGTTATGTAGTTGCAAAAGTATATAATGTACTCAAACTCGAAAACCCGATGAAAGTGTTACAGACAATGATTTTTTTCGATGTTTTCGTTGATCAATATTCAACATGAAAAATCAGTTAAGAACCTTACATATATGCGATAGTGATAGACGATTTATTAAGTCTGGCCTTACATAACGAAGAGTGCTCAGCGCATAAATAAACCCGGAACTTCCGTAGAATCTTTAAGTGAAAGTAATAAATGGCGTAGACAGTGATTAATTGACTACGAAGAGTTTCTTAGATCAAACTGCGCTACCCGGCCTAATCAACGTCCGTTAATTTGATGGATAAATAAGGGTAAAGGGAGTTTTGCTGAAAGGTTTATTACGATAAATCGTTCTCTGCTAACGTTTTCCTTGCTCTTCAGGGCATCCAGTTGACAAAGACATCGTCGGGTCTAAGTGATGCTTGGACAAATCGGTTTTACTGATTAATTAATGTCACGAGTATAACCCGCTACGTGTCTACGGCATCTCGGATACACCACGAATACAAATGACAGTTTGTTTGCGTGCGGTGAATTGTTTAATATTTGTTGGACTGTCGGTTACATCGTTTGAATTCGGTTCAAGTGGATTCTTCAATCAGGTTGTTAGCACGCGGGCGCTTCCTCTCTCCTATTAATTTCGTTCGCGCGTATGCCATAAAGTTTGCAACATGCAAGCCCTCCAAAACACAGAAGGGAACTATGTAAAAATATAACTTTCAGCTATCGTACTCGACCTAGTTCTCACTCTCCCTTCCACGCACAATGAGTAGTTAACATTTATTTTACGAGGGAAGTGACCGTTGGGAGAAAACTACAATGCGTGCAGAAGCGTACGGCTGTCAACGGGAATTACATTTAAAATGCTACAAAATTCGCCGTCATTTCGAGCAACAGCCGGTCGCGAGTGAGTGAGCGTCGCAAATTGGAGGGAAGAAAATCGATGTTCGCGCTCGATACGGCTGCCGACGTACATTGACGCGAAAAAAAAACAGAATATGTTAACATTCGCAAAATCGAAAGTGATACGCACGGTTTGCGGCGCGGAAATTATTTATTCACGCAACGGCTGCGACACCGACCGTGACGAAGTCGCGCTGACGAGGACCGTCGTTCTCCGCCGAAATCGATCGAACTTACGCGAAATACGAGCAAAAAGAGGCGCACGGAAATGC